AACAATATAACTCTTCTCCCTCCATCCCAAAAGCACTTTCAGATGGAAAAATTAATAGATGATTATCTTTACTTTGTCAAAGTTTTGCATTTGTTCCCTGTTTGTCAGCCACGACTCCATATCGGGGGCAGCCTGAATGACGAAAGCCTCGTAGTCTGCGAACATCTGAGTGAAGCGGTTGGCAAAAACCTCGCGGAGCTGCACGTTCAGTTTGTAGTCCCTCAGCTCCATCTCCTCGCAAGGCAATTTCCCGTCCTTCTCCTTCTCAGCAAGGGGAGCCGTGATGGTCATTTTCTCCATTGTCACACCTGTTCTCTTGGCCAGGGCTTGCAGCCGGGCAATCGTCTCGTTGCCTTTCAGCAGCTCATACATGTTGAGAGCGTTGCTGGGGATGTTCCCGTTCTTCTTGTCGTTCACCAAGTCGCTAAGGACCAGGTTCTTGAGTTTGGTGGCGCTGTCGCTGCAGTGCAAGTTGCCCTCCGGTGGGATCCCAAACTGCAGGAGAACCTCGGAGATTTCCTGGATAAACTCCAGCTTGTTGGGGAATTGGGGGAACTCCTCTGGCAGTTCAATGAAATGGTTATCGATGTCTACAAAGCACAAGTTTGCCTGAAATACAAAGAAAAGTCAAAACGGATGCTCAGCACTGAATTGACTCCTCTGCTAAGTAGCCCTGCTTTCCCAGTGTGCTTTCAGACAAAAGGGTAAGAGCACTTACATGCAGGAGACTTAAGCTGTGTGAGACTTAGCCTGTGACATTTCAGACTTCAGGAAAGCTTAGGGCCAAATTGCATGGCAGAGATATGATGCATAAATAAATGGTATTCTCCTGGGACTTGCAGATCCCAAACTTTCCACTACAAAGATTTGATATCCCCTCCAAGATCAGCCAAGGACACAGCAGCAAGCAGTACGTGCAGCACCGCTTCTCAGCCCATGTAAATATCATTTCTGTGAATAACCACATCTCAAGGACACATTTATTTTAGCTGATACAACTGCAGGAAGCCTCTGTAGCTGTGCTACCAAGGAATGAGATGTTCAGCAAGAAAAATGATGTTGCTATGAGCAAAGCTACAAAAAAGGGTCCATGCAAATCCTTTGTGATCATGTCTGAGTATAGCTTGTCCACTGGAGGTCAAGGCCTATTTCCCCATTCACCCTCACTCCTTGTTTCCATGGAGGCTTTTAATCTTGGCAATTCCTCTGCCCAAGATTTAAACAGAGTGCTCTTAGACAGCTTTGTTATGAATGGAGATGGATCTCAGCCCATAAGATTAAAGCTAAGTGAAGAAATGAATCTAACAGAGCAGATAGTTTTACTAGGAAAGTGTCAATGGGGGGATGGAAGAACCCTACATAAAAATTAATTACATTGCAAATGCACCCTCAGGAATAATGGCAGAATGAAAAACAGTAATTGATCTTCTGAACTGCGGCTTACATCTGAAATTCACCGTCTGAGTGCACTGTGCTGAACAAAATCTTAAACCAGGTCAGATTCCCAAGGTGCTGAGCTCTGACTGGTTTTACCCTGGCATAAAGCTGCAGAGCAGGAGATGCAGAAACCCCCAGGGCAGCGGCAGCAGGTTTTTGTTAGGCCATTAGCACAGCTCCTCTGCCTTCTCCTGCGCACTTTTACTATTCTTTATTTCTCACCAAACACTGTAGACTGATCTTCAGATTATGTGAAGAGAAATGGCTTATTTTCCTCCTTTTCTGAAAAGGTTAATTCTCAGCAGGACAATACATTCCACAGCAAACATGGTTATAATATATTGGATATTTCAGGGACATGCTTGAGATTAATCACCTTTCACATAGATACTTTAAAGGGTATTAGGATTCATTGGGAAAGCAGAAGTGTCCCTGCAACTCACTTTTTCATAATAAATTTGAATGGTACAAAGAAAAGCACTTCTTCATACAAAACAATTTGCTTTACTTAACTGTACAGCTATTAAAATGTTGTGGTATGTGTCAGTACAGTTCTTTAGCTCAGGGACCATCTTCTTATCTATCAATATTTCATTTCAAAGGCTTTTTAATTTCAGCTCTGCATATCATTTACAAAATTTGAAAAATGAGATATGGATTCAGAAAACCCTTGGGGAATTGGTCTCACTTCTCTCTTCAAAAACATCTGATGATTAAAGTTAATGCAGAGAGATTAGTAACCTTAAGACAGCATGATGGCCAGTTGTTAGAAATTTTATCTCTGACAAACAAATGGTTTACATTTAGAGCAAGAGCTTGAAAAGCTACCCCTGGCGTGAACAATAAAGGAATGCTAAATTGAACAGTGCTTCATCACTGCTCGCGTGTTGAAGGATTTTCTATTTTTCATTGTCTGGAGGAATTGGAGTTTCAAGATTTTCTCTGTTCAATATCCCTTCTTTCTTTCCCTTTCCCACAGATACTGGACCTGTGGTGTTCATAAATGCTGTGCTGGTGTTTTTCACTCATTTGTGAAACATTGTAATGGGGGTGGGGTTCCACCCTGCTCTTACTCTTCCCTCACTGGTGATTTTTAATTTGTTATTCAAGCAATACTGCAAGCCCATCATATTAAAGTTTTAATTTAAGGAAAATGACAGCTTAATCTGCTAACTAAAAGCATCTGACTAATAATTTTTTAAATTGCAGTAATTATGTAATCTTAGCATGGTTTTACTGAAAAGCACAGCTAGATACCAGCTTTGTTTCCACACCAGTGCAAAGTTCACGTGATTGGGCCACTGTATCCATGAGGTAAGACTTGATTTGCACTGCTACGTGCCACCTAGGCTAAGAATCAGTCACCTCTACCTAATACTTGAAAAAGACCTTTATTAAAAACCGTATTATCCTTGCCCTGTGCTTACTCCTCCACTTCCACATACAAACTCCCCTACTCCTGCTGCTCTCATCTGCCTTCTCAGTAAGAGCACCCATTTGTAAGCTTCAGGGCCTCTGCCCCCAGGAGAGGTCCCTGGGGCAACCTGGGCATAGTGCTGCCACTGTATTGAGACGTTAGAGCCATACACACAGTCATTCTTAGGCTTCCCACTGATTTTAAGAAGAAACCTAAGCTAAAATGCATGGCATGCTCAAGGGATGGATCCAGACACCAGTTTGAGAGCAGGCAGACTGGCCATATCCCAAAGACTTTGCAGTATGGAGAGTGATCGGAGATCAGCTTAAAATGTGATGCAGTTCTAACCATCTTGGTCAAATTCTGAGTAGAAAAATCTCCATTTCACAGTGTACCATCAGTGATGTTAACACCTAGACTAGGAGGATGACCTTTCCTTCCTTTTTTTCTCTGGGGAAAACATGACAGACCAGGCAGAATTTTCAGTTCTCATTGCACAGGACAACAGAAGATCTTCAGTCCAAAAGCCCATCTTTAGAGTGATTCAAGATTTTTAAAGTGTGTACGTATGTACGCCTTTAAGCAGTTTACAGGCGTGGTATTAACGCAAATCTGGCTTATTTGAGACCAGGATGCTGGTCCAGTAGTAGACCTTGATCTAACCCGGAATGTGTGGGCTCACCCACGGGTGGGACAAAGCTGGCAGGACAAGGGATGCTTCTTATCAGCAGTGGGGGGACAGGGACAGGTTTATACAATCTAGCAACCGCACCTGAGATCCAGTTTCATACAGATCATCCCCGAATGAAATGCTCTTTAGTCCTCTGTTCATAGGCAAGCAACACTTACAGAGGGATAAAACCCAGTGAAATGTGTGATATGGAAAAGGCAGAGAAACTTTCAGCTCCACAGCAAGAAGCAGAAGGAGAAGCATTTAGAAGCATAATTAGTGGCACTTACTAAATTCAGAAAAGTACTGAGAAGGGCTGTGGAGACTTCCCCCACCACCTTACTTCTGCTGGCAAACAGCCTTCACAGTGCCAGAGAAGCCTCCTAACACCGGG